ATTATAACAGAAGATTTTCCTGTTTTGTCTATAGCCATGGCAGTTTTGGGAAATAAAATTTGGATTCATCTGCATAGATTTCCATTGCATTCGAGGAAACCATGTAACAATTTTCTTTCTCTATGTTCCCTTCAATACTCGCTTTTCTCCATTTGATATTATTTGAAGCAGTATGGAAAAACATAATAATATTTTTCAAAAAGCTTGGGTCAACCTCAGCATTGCACAAAGTGCAGAACAAAGCATCCTCTTCTCCAGATTGCTGCTGTGGAACGCTATCTTCATTACTGCGGCAGTCTTCTCTAACAAGAAAACCACAAAAGAAACACCCAACTTTTGAGCACCAATTTGAATTATGCCGATCAGACATTCCTTCACCCTTTAGTCCTAACTTGCTGGGTTCTGCAAATAGGAGATGCAAATCCAAAATAAACAATCAAATTACAGTGAAATTGCTATTAAAGGCATAATAAATCATCAATGGCAGACAACATATCCCAATATACTCCCAACAAGTATTGTTGTCAAATCAATTAAGATAAGAAATTCATGACAATCTGTCCGCATATGCCATATAGGAGCTAACAAACAAAGTGTTTACATATTCATATTTTCAAAGAACAAGTAAAAATCTAAATGAGCGGTTCTACCAAACCTACAGAAATGTTTAAATAAATCTTTCAACTGATATAGGATCTGTATGTAGACATTAACAAGTAAGAACATAGTCCAAAAAATGTCACTGCTACATAATTAAATTCAGAGCAGTTCTTTCATTTTGGTGGTCTACCTCTGTTTGATAAAACCAGAAATATGCTAAATTTGTGAGAAACGACTTATGATGAATCATGATTTGAATCTTGTTGAAAAAGAGATACAACAACACAGATAGGATGAATTGCATGAGTTGAACTACACAAAAGAAAATATATTCATAAAGAGTCATAAATACAAGGAAAATTACAAAATAATTACAAGAATATACAGTTACTCTATTAACGTACTTGAACCATGTATAATCTACCCTATTCCTATACATTATACATTATTTCTAACAAATCCGATCACAAGAATAAACCAAAAATCAATAGATGCCAGTAGCATTGAAAGTCCAACCTGCCAACTCTTCATCATGTTTTGATCTATTCTTCGACGACTTGTCACAGTCAACCGTTACACCCTGATCAGCAGGGTCAATGGCAGTGCATCGAACATAAAGAAAGAACACAGAGAGAGCCTGCATTCAAAATTTAAATTCAAGTTAATGAAGGAATATCGAACACCCTATTTTAGAATGAATCTCCCATATGGAACACACAAGAGTGAGGGGAGAGCGGAGAAGATTCAGAGTATTGCTTACCAGTAAAGAGTAAACACCAATAGCCACATATTCATAGATGTCCTTTCCAAGAAAAGGGGCAAAGAAGGCATAATACGCAATAGATAGTAAGAAAAATACTGTTATAGCCACGACCTGTTCATAAATCAAAAAGCAGTAAGAAAAGGCTTAATGATAATACACAAACCTTCAACTCTAGAAAACACGAAACTAGAAAAACACATGGCATTCTCAGCATTGTAAAAGCATTTAGGCACAAAATATGTTTCTAGTCCTTCAAAAATAATATGTATAGTCCCTGAAGTGTTAGTCCCTCATCAGGGATGTGTTGCTCTTAAATAATAAATACTAAAAATTTATTCAATTTTTGGAAGACAAAAAACCAACATTTTTTGGGATGTGTTACGATTAAAAAATAGAGACAAAGAAACTATTTTAACAAAAAATTATCACACACTAAAGAAATATGCCGAAAGATCGTGGTCTAATATTAGTAGTAGTGTCATTTCATCTACAAATTGACTCGTAAATTTATCTTTGTGCAGATGACGATAACATGATAACACTAGATTCATAACCAGAAATGAAGAAGCAAAAAAACGCTAAAGTAACTGACGTGGCTTCCATACTGAGAAAAAAAAATCTTGGGTAAACGGATATTCGAGTGCGAAAACAGAATCCCCCAGAAAGTGAGAGGGAAAAAGGGTGGACACTACATATACGACAAAACGCATGAGATTCCGCATAAAACTAGAACATGAATTAACGGCGGAAAACAAAACAAACCATAGAGAAAAAGATGCGGCAGAGTGGGATAAAATGGGAAAGAGTCAAAAGAAGAAAGAGGTAAACGAGAAAGTAAAAAAGGTAGAAGAAGATGGAAAATTGGATGAAAGTTTGAAGAAAAGGCCCATCAGAAACTCAGGAAAAAAAACAAACAAACGCAAACAAAGTAGCACACGAATGAGAAGAAAATTGCGTTGCGGCATTGAAAATACAGTGTGGTGTGGAGTGAGAGTGATAATGCACCTGGAAAGTGTGAAAAGGAAGCTCCCATCCATGACGCCTAGCCATGACAGAGTGACAAGTCTCTCTAACGAACTACGAAATCAGAAGCATTTGCACAGAAAAGAAGCATCTCCCACACCCTTCAAACTTGTTCTGTAATCACGCAAAGTGGAAACCGATTTGAAATGACAGAAGAAAGAGTTCTATGAAAATTCTTAGGCTAGGGTTTGCCAAGTCAAATTCAAGAAGAGGAGAAGAAGAGAGAGAAAGAGAGTTAGAGAGAGAAAGAGAAAAAGGTAAGAGGTTGTTGGATGATGTGAGAGTGCCAAGAGACAAGGCAGAATAAAGTCACTCACTCTCCCACTATTGTATTGCATTATTATAAATAAATAAATTATTATCATTTATCTTCTTTTTTTTTTGTTTATATATGTTAATATATATTTATATATATTTATTTATAAATTATACAGTCACTCTTGCCACTTCTGAAAAGTGGTCCCGATTCTATTAATTTCATTGCTTCACTCCTACACCTTTTTAAATATTTAAATTTGTATGTTTCATCAAAAAGAGAAAAAATACCAATTCAAATAACTAAAGAAATTTTGATAAATGAATAAATGTAAAATATCTGATAGAAAATGAAAATTTAAAATTTAAAAATACTGTACAATTAAAACATGAATAATATTATTTTTGTTATTAGTATTAACATTATTAATAAAGCCTCTCAGTTATATTTTTTAATCTTCAAAACTCAAACTCTGGTAGTAACTGAATTAGTATAGCAGATTTTTCAGTCCATTTGTTGAAGTGAAAAAATATTAAAATAATAGTAATTGCATATTAAAAAGTTAGTAGGTACTGCATAATCACCTGTATGCATTAATTGTCAATAAAAAAATTAGGTTTCTTCTCTTTTAATGTGATAGTTATAATTATAATAATTAAATGTATAACATGTATGTGTATTTTTTTTATGTTATGAACTAATATTGTATTGCCTTGTAATTAAATTAGCCTCACGTATTTAGATTTTAAAATATTTCAAAAATTATCATAGACATAGCATGATATTCATGTCAACACATATTTCAATAACATTAATTTTAAAATAAAAAATTCAAATTAAAACAAAAACAAAAAATCCACTTATAGATTTAAAGACAAAAATACATACTTAAATTTAGAGGGCTAACAAAAATATCTTATTAATTTTAGAGATTAAAAGGCCAATTTTAAATTTAACAGAAAAAAAAATTATATTATTGATGTTGGGTATTACATATTTACATGTGAAATGATAGTTCATCAATCAATTCTCCATTAAAAAAAAGTTTGACTTCCACAAAATCACTATTCAGAGGCCACTGCTACGTTTTCACCTAATACTGTGTTTTGTCTGATGCATTTGTTGTCTATGGAAACCATGATGTTTTTTTTAGTTAATAATTTTTTTATTTTATATATAACTCTATAAAATACTCACAAAATATATTTTTTACTTTATTAAGTGAAATACTTTGTTGACTGTGTTTCTATAATCACTTTATTAATTTATTTTTGTTGTTGTTGAATAATTAATTATTAATGTGCCGTCTTCACATAAAACATGGCAATGATTTGGAATCTTCCAACTAATGATTTTTTGGTGTGGAAGCGATTCCTTGGAAAGTTAATGTGATATGAAAGTGACAAAAGCAATAGCGTGAGAGAGTTAGCAAAGTCTAATAACATACCCAAAATATTTGGTATGTGCAAAACCCAAAAAGAAAAAGAACCAAAAGCACTGATTTGACTTACCAACCGCACTTCCATTATTTAATGTTTTTTTTATGAGAAATAGCTCACAGTACAAAAAAATAAACCAAAATAGTTATAATTTTTTTTGTTATTTTCTTTTTACTTTTAGGTTTAAGCACATATTTTCTAAAGTATTAAAACTTTTACGAGTATTTCTTATGTTTACAAAAATTATACTAATATTCCTTAAATTTTTTTAAATTATACTAAAAATTACTGAATTAGTAAAAAAATGACGTATGTACTGTAACAAAATATTATCAAAAAAATCTATGATAAAATATATTTTTTCTTTTTTTTTTCTCAAAAGCTTTTCTCTTTTTCATTAAAAGGTACATAAAGATTTTAACAGAACTTTTGGTTACAGTCAATTCTAACCAAACAGTGATATGTTTTTTATTTTCAGTCTGTTTAGATTCTTACATCAGTGTTACAAAACATAAACTTTTGTTAACTGTAAACTGTACTATGTTTGGTAAGTTATTACATGAGTTGTATTTTGTAGCTTGAGTTATAATGATTATCATTTGAATAAGAATGTCTTAAAAGAATAAGACCTAACTGAAAGCTACAACAGTATCTGAATATTAGCTTGGGAGAAAGGTTGCATATATGATATGACTCTTGTGCGAGGCTATTCTGCTGTATTAATCATGTTCATTATCTTAACACAGCTTCTTTAGCTGCTATTACCGGTTAATTCTGCAGACACAATCACACAAGTCCTTTCAAAATTGTTGATTAATTCTTAAAGCTTACAAAGGAAAATTCGGTAATGTGAGGTTCTCCATTTCTTGGAGCTTGAGATGTCTGTGTCTGTATTATTTCATTCAATTGGTACGATGATCCTTCTGTGTCAGACAAGTCGGTATCAGATTGGTATGATCGTGGAGAATAAAGAACCGTATCAGTGTCTGTTTGGTTAGGCTTGTACTTGTGAAGTAAATGTATAGGTGATGATCCTTGGCTTGGTGTTGCTTCCCCACTCATTGTTCCCGAAGGAACATCTACCCCTGCTTTTCTCAACTTTCTCTTGTCTTTTGCAACCCTCTGCCATTTCTTTAGTGCCTTTGCAGTTTGCTCTTCAAAAATTGCTTTTTTCATGTGAGATCCCATCTACAAGTTAACACAGACTTCATTTTATGATGCTGAATGAAAAGTTGACACAAATATTATAGGACTCTGTTTTGTATTATGAAATGTAATTTTGTAGTTAGTTTGAAACTGTTCACCTGTGTTACTAGGGAGTAGAGAGGAAATGTAATGTAACTACACACGACTTGCAAGACTATTCCAAGGAAAACCCTTGTCAGTATCAGCGGCAAGTTTTCATGGAAGCAAGACGTGATCTTGAATTCATACTGCAATTTGAAAACATCATTAAAACAAGGAAGTACTCTAAGTTTGAAAACATCATTAAAAACATCTGGGTTATGCATGCTACTTACCCACGACCACAAGAAAAAGGCTATTTGGAATGCATTCTGCAGAACAACAGATAAATAACACACGTCACAAGAGAAATTGCTTGTTTCACAGTCATGGACTGTCATAACTTCTACTAACACCTCTTTTTCATAAATTGAAAATCTCAGTTATATGTCATAATGTGTTAATCCAAATCAGTATAATTTTTCTGCCTAAATTTATGTTATATAGGGACACACAAGTTATGACCTCGAATAAGGTAAAGTGGATTAAGAAGGTAATCCACTGGGGCCGATTAAACCAAAAATACTTGTTGTTAGGCTCTACAATAGGGACTCCTCTGACAATTGTGGTTCGATCTTGAATTTCTTGGGCCATTTCCATGATTATAAGTTCAAGCTTGGTGCCCACTAATAGAAGTATCTGCCAAGCAATGAAGTTCAAGGGATGTTAGGTTGATAATAATAATGATGATAGTTATTACAAACTTTTCAGTAACAAGTTTTCCTTAATTACCACCAGCGGCGCTAACGATAGCCAGGTGAGAGTGTACCATTCTGTAGCAATAAACAAAACAAAGTCAAGAACTTCAATAACAACACGGTTTTGAGCATTGCGTGTGTGAGTTGGAGACTTAAAAGAGGACCAAGTAGAGAAAACTTACTGTAAACGTTCACCAGCATAAAGACGATAGCGAAAGCCCATAAGGGAATACTGCAAAACAAAAACTGATATGGTAAAAAAAGACCAAAATTGTGTCGTTAGATTATTAAAGCGTTACAGATTTTTGAGGTCTGATGATCGATACCTTATACCCACGACCACTTTAAAGTCGTCCTCCATGGATCTTTTAATGTACTTTTGGAAGTCAAATTTGCTATTGGGAGCAAAATGTGCCTGCGTTTGTCAAAGTTTGTCATCAACTCAATTAATTTAAAACGGTAACAACATTTATTTAAGGTACACGTAAAACTTTGGCACCCACGTTAATAAATCCATGCCGCATGGTCATGTAATCCACTTTAGTGACAGACGCAAAGAATTGCCTGAAGAATGCTACCTGCAACAAACAATTACAGATATCATTTTGGTATTGTTTTCTTCTTCGTGTGGAACCAGAACAATGAATGAAACTCACAATCCACCGAATTCCCGGCATCCTAGACCAACCAGAGTGACGCCTAACAAACGATGTTTGATGCGCAAACCTGAACCTCGAAGGATCTGCATAATTACATAAGACACAGCTCCATTACTTCTTATGTAACATATTATATATGTTGAATAACACGCTTTTTTACATATATGGGCAAACTTGCACAGATATTACGAAAATAAACAAGTCAAAAAGATATTAACTTCACGATAAAATATTAACATTGAAGTCATCATGACTCCTAACATCTTCACTTTTTCAGAAGCTCATGAAGATGTCTTACCGTTTGTAAATTGATACTCAAGAGAGGATGTTTCAGCTTCCCAAGCTTTCCATTTCTTCATCTGTAGAGCAATGCCATTTTCGTTATTCCTCTTTTTGTAAAACAAATTAGGTAGAATAATGGAGTTGTTAGACCCAGAGACTTTCTATTTTATCGATGTTGTATTTGGAAAAGCAAACTTACTTTTGCTCGGGCTAGTACCATGGTCATTACGCTGTAGAATATGTGAAAAACAGCGAGGACGAAGATAAATATGTGCAACTGGTGCACCCCTGACTGAGAAATCAATGACACTTTACCCTGATTTCTCATAACACGTATAAAGAGAGTTAATTACTGTTTAACATGAAAAAAACAAAAAGGAGTATCAGAAGAGATAATGTTCCTCACGTTCTGTGAGCAATAGTCACCACCAGAAGACGCGGTTGCTAAAACTCGACGCCATTCCATGTTGTCCTCAAAGTAAAGTAACTTCCTTCCGCCATTTGAATCATCTGGGTTCGTTAAAGCTTCCACCTTTTTGCATGGAAGCATGATATCACCAGCTGATGCAGGGATGCATATCTTTGCAATGTATTGTGTACCAAAAGTAAGTAACAGGGATATAAATCCTAATAACATTAATTCTGCAAACAAACAAAAATCAACACATGTATCTGTATCTGTAT